ACCGTACTTTTTGGTGCTGCTTAAACCGCATTATCCTGTTCTCTCAGGCCTCGTGTCATTGTGCACCTGCAGTAGGTTATAGTTGCTAATCTGTGTGACTGTGTGCGATTACAGTGCCTGTGATGTTGGATGAAACTATGGACTACTTGGAAAACAGACAGGTAAGTGCTCAGCCTCATATGGAAAAGTATTGAATTAAATCTTTCTGCATCTCTTGATCAGTTATTCTCAAAGGGGCCAGTAGGTGGCAGCATTCAACTTAAAAAGTACAAATTCCTCATGTTATTTCTTTACTGCAGAAACAGCACCCCTCTTTTACCTATGAGGTGATTGTGGTTGATGATGGCAGCAAAGACAAAACCACAGAGGTAATCATTTTAAACCTTCTTTTTTTTTTTGGAATATGTTACAATGATTTTATTCCTCAACTCACTCTTGCTTAACTAAACATTTAAAAGTGATGCCAATAGAGATTTGTTGCGATGTCCTCCCAGGTCGCTTTGCGCTACACTAGGAAGTACGGTGCAGATAAAGTGCGGGTCCTGACGCTGGTGAACAACAGAGGGAAAGGAGGAGCTGTGAGGATGGTGAGAGCGTAGACGTCAAACTACAGTGTGTTTGAAGCACAAAAGTAACAGTATGGAAGTCATTTTTACATGTGTTTTTTTTTCTGTCACACTTAAAGGGAACTATGAGCTCCAGAGGGAAAGTCATTCTGATGGCGGATGCTGACGGAGCCACAAAGTTTTCTGATATTGACAAAGTGGAGGCTGGACTTAATGACCTCAACCCTAAACCGGTGTGGCGGTGTTCCATTTCTCTCGTTCTGTCTTGCATACATGTATTAATAGACGTTGTGGCCATCCTAAACATGCTTCTCTGTACATTTAGGAGAACATGGCAATTTCCTGTGGCTCCAGAGCTCACATGGAGAAAGAGTCGGTAGCTCAGGTAATTGTCCGTCTGCCTGGAGACCAAGAATATAAGAATAACATCTGTCTAACCAGTAAATAACCACTGTTGTATCTCTGCCGCAGCGATCCATGTTTCGTACATTCCTCATGTATGGCTTTCACTTCCTGGTGTGGTTCTTCTGCGTGAGAGGCATCAAGGACACGCAGTGTGGCTTCAAGCTTTTCACACGCGAGGCTGCGCTCAAGACCTTCTCCTCTCTCCACGTAGAGCGATGGTAAGGATTCGCACTGCACCATGGAAACTTTATTTTAGTGTAATGATTCAATAACAGCTGTGATGTGCCTTTGTGTTAAGAGTACACCTGTTGAGCTGTTGTGCTGGATCTTTGGAAAACAATTATTATTAACAGTGTATCGCTTATTTTGCACTCAAGTATAATGTTGAAAGTAATAACATTCCTATCAGAGGGCCAGCTGTCGACAAAGTGGGGGGTTTTAAAATGACCTGGTGGAGAAAAAAAAAAACACGTAATACAAGTGTAACCAGCAACCTCACACAGGTGTGTTTTCAATTAATATGGCTAATTAGACCCGGGGTCAGGTTGAAGCAAGGGGGAGCTATGCTTGGGATGCCACGATGTCACCAAACAGGGTAAACTGTCCCGCCCTCACAGGAGCAACAAAACTAACAGGAGAGTTAGGGAAGATGTCAATCACACCCACCCACACAGTCCTGAGAAGAGGTCTAATCAGGCAACACAACTAAAAATACCTGTGTGGGTGGACTGTTAGGTCTGTAGGGGCTTTAATGTTGTCTGAAAAAGGGACGCTTTGACTAGAGAGGACACATATTATTTGAAATTTTACAATACTAATACGATACCCCAGATTTGTGTGCATACCTTACTTAGATGGATATAAACATGTTCTCAAATGTTAAATGTTTTCTAAACACAAGCAGCCACAACAAGAACTCTCTAAATAAAATACAGTGTTAGGTAAGACTTCCTTGCCTAAACATTTGGCAACACTCAGACTCATGTCCCATACCCAGCCCCAGTGACCAGACCATTGTGTTTTTTTGTTTAAAAAAAATAAATAAATAACTATTTATTTTAACACAACTGTTGAACATCTGTTGTGTATCTTTCTTCTCAGGGCTTTTGATGTGGAGCTCCTGTATATCGCCCAGTGTTTTAAAATCCCCATAGCCGAGGTGGCGGTCAACTGGACTGAAATAGAAGGTAGGGTTTTTCATGGAAAATGTGGACATGTGTCCTCCCACTGTGCCACATATCTGTAGTTCTATAAATATCTCTGTTCGGATGTGTTTGCAAGTCTGGGATTGGTTGATTTTTTTTTATATCCACTGTGCGAGTGCTCCTTTCCTGTTGATGCTTCACTCAATTTATAAAACATTTGCTTAAGCCTTCTCAGTACTGCCATGATTCATTCTTTTCTCAATGAGTTATTGCATGCATCAGCTGTAAATGTCAGCAAAGCTGGCATATTTCCATTATTTGTCCTATAAAAGTATCACTTGAGAATTAAGGGGCCTTTGCGTTTGCTCTGCCAGGGTCCAAGTTGATCCCGTTCTGGAGCTGGCTGCAGATGGGACTAGACCTGATTTTCATTCGCCTGCGTTACATCACCGGAGCCTGGAAGCTGCAGTCACCAAATAAGACTGACTAGCCAATCAGACAATCCCTGGTATCATAGAGACAGCCTGTGACAGGGCCGTCACACCTTTGGATGAGGTGGGATTAACAGCCGTGTCCATCATTCACTGTAATCCAGAACAAAGTACAAAGTGCAGTATATCACATCCTTTTCCTCTCCAGGCGTCATTGGATGTGAAGATGACACTGTTGTGAGTTCTTCATGGTCCTGCCTTCTTTTTTTAAAATGTTGGCTTGTGATGGCCACCGTTACGTGCATATTTCTGTTGCCACGGC